ACGAGAGGCCGTAGTTTTCCATATGATTAATTTCATAATACATCATTTTTAAATTAGTACAGCATGCCAACAATGCCTCATGGTTAGTTCGATATGCCGTCTTATCGGCTTTTCTCTCATCCAGATTCCATCACACAGTAGATAACTGTTCTACCACTTGCACTTACATCCTACCTCACACCAAAAATAATCATCTTATCGGCGTCTTATCTCTCCACAGAAGTATAGAAACTATATACCAGATTCAAAATAACCGCATTATCAACTTACGCGACACATATGTATAATATCGCTTAGTATATCGTTCTATCAGCATTCCTAACATACATACTACCTAACCCACACAATGCACGGGGGTTCTATTGGCTTTTCTCGCCCCAATACATATATATATATATAGAGTGGGCTTGATTAATATTGCATATGGAAAACCACCTCTTTTACACAATAAATAAAGGTTCTATCTGTATCCTCTTCTAAACGAACACATATACAAATTGAAAAACATCCAACCTGAAAACAACAGGCCTGAACCCTGGCATTTATAAAAACATCCATATTAATGTATCCATATTCATTCTAGATGCTTAGACGGCAGTAACCGTTGCCCGGGGCTATTTTTGAAACTTTCCTATAAATGACGCTCATCACGCGATCGTGATGTATCGTATTACGATTAAAAATACGCGGGTGCGCTGGTATAAAGTACTCTGCGTATAGCCGCCGCTGTGTTATATAATCTATTTTTACGATGCGTTTTCTCTCCAAAGAAAGCCCCGTACAAACAGGCGCGTAATGGATTGAATATCTTCTCCGTGGCCAGTGGTTGCGCTTAGTGCAACACTCCTAACAAGCCACTGTACAATTGACAAGCTGAGAAGCACTTTTTTCGGACCTCCAGAGGTATGCGCACCAAGATGGCGCACAACCTGAACATAGTATGTGTGTACTGGTTAGGATTCAGGTTGTGCGACATCGTGGTGCGCTTACTCCTGTATCATACATAGCAGATTTCCGTAGCTTAAAACACTTTTTAGACCCTCAAGACTCCGGCGAACCCGCTAGCTGTTACGGTTTAACTGGCAATTAGAAATTGTGAGCATCTTTAAAAATTTCGGGTTACGCGCTTGCAATGATATAATATAATTGCAATAATATAATCCCGCTTATACAAGATTTTAGTCAGGCTTCTTCATGGTATGAATTCCGCCGTTTATTTTAGTACAGGTCACAATGGAATGGACTTGTTAGTCTAGGCCAGGGTAAGGAATACAAATTCCACTGGAAAGTCAAATTTTCAAATCATTCCAACCTTAGATGGATAATTACTAACTTTTTATTTTAAAACGTGGCGGTTGTGCTTTCGCAAATCTCACTGTTTTTCATAAGTGGCAAGGCCTTTCTATAAAATACCCATTGACTTCACGTATTATTTTGATGCCGGATGTTACATTGTTCTTGTCGCATTTGTCTATTTCATTTCTATCCCTAACCTGCTGTCTATATGAAAGCCCATTAGCCTTTCTTCATATCTCAAATTACCTTGAAATCGATGAAAGCACGCCGAAAATTTCCCAACATTGTTTGTTTATCCCATTTACGTCACTGGTATGTTTTTAACCAGCGCTTCTGAGTCATCGATTTTAATAAACGAAAACAGAAAGTACGGTTTCACAAATACGCGACAAATAAAAATGATGGACAGTAAATTGGTTAGCTTATTGGGTATAAATTGTAGATAAGATATCGGGTTCGAACCCCGTGCGAACCACCTCACTCTGGGTGTAAAAAATTGGAGAGGGAATGCTGACTAGGAAGATTTCAGTATTTTCAAAAATATCGTCTTCTTATACATAAACGAATATCAGTGGCCACTTGTATAAGGCATTGTCCAGAGCGGAAAGCGTGAATAAGCGTTGCATGAAAAAATATTGACACTCCCGTAGTATGCGAAACAAGACGGCGGACACCGGAACGTAGTTTGTGTATCAGGTTAGGGTTAGGCCATAATTTCAGGTACACATACTATGGGAGTCACTTGGCTTGTCCCCGAACTCGTAATAGAACTAAAAAAAAAGTGAAATTGGAATAAAATTATGGCCTAACCTTAACCTGGTACACGTACTGCGTTCTTGTATCCGCCATCTTGGTTCGCATAATACAGGACTACCAAGTTATTTGATTTTCATTATTTGTCGGCAATCGGCATAGATGTTTGGATATTGGTGTTCAAATCTATGATTTATAGGTTTTATATACTTCTTGTTCAGAGCCTTGTTCTGAGAGAAGCCCGTTCTCGCGACTTTTTGCCTTTTCTAAAATCTCGGATGTCAGTGATTTCTAATCTGTACGTCCCAAGATATCGTCAAATGCGTCACGATTAGTAAAATTATCGAATCCATAAATTAACGTTAAGAGGGGAGTACGACGGTATATATCAGATTTAGCCAATATTGATGGTTTGTATGCAAATAAACAAGCGCTTGTATTAAATACGCGCACGTTATATAACTTTTCGGCGTAATAAATTGTAATGAAGGCAAATATTCGGATCTTCTGTACCAAGCACCCGCTACTAATGCAAAATGTGTGAGATTAGAGAAAAGCATCCCCGCCACGTTCATAACAAAATAACAAATTAGTGATTATCCAGTTCGGGTACGATTAGGAATGATTTGATGGGGGATCTGTACAAATGATACCAAACCTCCAACCCAGTGTGTCACAAACAAGATAGCCCATTCCGACCCGAAACATTTGGATGTTTCCAGAAACATGCTTCCGCATATCAGTGGTGTCTTGTCTTTCATTCCAATGAATTCTAGCTCAAGCCCATTATTGAGTGATGAGTGGGAATTTCAACAATTTCTCTTTTTTGTATCGCAATAAGTTGGACAGGAAATGAATGTATCTCACTGAAGAACGGGTTCGTTGAATATCCCAGGTTCGCACGCTAGGCTGAGCCGTAAATTGCCCACCCCTGTTTCTGAGAGTCACCGGTTGATATCACTTTTTATCAGCAATGCATTTACCTTTATTGATAGCTCGCTATATTCCTCTAGGAAAATTACATGAAATTAGTATAAATACTGTTAAAACCGTGATTTAATAGGGATAGTAAAAGGTTCATGTCGAATCTACTCTTTTTTAGAACTCGGATTCGCAATCGCGTTCATACTCAATTCTGATTTCGCAAACTTTATGATTACTCCCTCTATTGCTATATTTCGCTGAATTCTATCGCCGGTCTCGTCCCATCTCTAGTATTTTATTACAAATTTCGGACCTTCTGAAGTAGGCACACCAAGATGGCGCACAACCTGAACTCAGGTTGTGTACCAGGTTAGGGTTCAGGTTATGCGACATCTTGGTGCGCATACTTCAGGAGTACCCGAATTTCTGTATTTTAGAATGACTAATGGGAGTCACTTGGCTTGTCCCCGAACTCGTAATAGAACTAAAAAAAAAGGGAAATTGGAATAAAATTATGGCCTAACCTTAACCTGGTAACAGGACTACCAAGTTATTTGATTTCCATTATTTGTCGGCAATCGGCATAGATGTTTGGATATAGGTGTTCTATGATTTATAGGTTTTATATACTTCTTGTTCAGAGCCTTGTTCTGAGAGAAGCCCGTTCTCGCGACTTTTTGCCTTTTCTAAAATCTCGGATGTCAGTGATTTCTATTCTGTACGTCCCAAGATATCGTCGAATGCCTCACGATTAGTAAAATTATCGAATCCATAAATTAACGTTAAGAGGGGAGTACGATGGCATATATCAGATTTAGCCAATATTGATGGTTTGTATGCAAATAAACAAGCGCTTGTATTAAATACGCGCACGTTATATAACTTTTCGGCGTAATAAATTGTAATGAAGGCAAATATTCAGATCTTCTGTACCAAGCACCCGCTACTAATGCAAAATGTGTGAGGTTTGAGAAAAGCATCCCCGCCACGTTCATAACAAAATAACAAATTAGTGATTATCCAGTTCGGGTACGATTAGGAATGATTTGATGGGGGATCTGTACAAATGATACCAAACCTCCAACCCAGTGTGTCACAAACAAGATAGCCCATTCCGACCCGAAACATTTGGATGTTTCCAGAAACATGCTTCCGCATATCAGTGGTGTCTTGTCTTTCATTCCAATGAATTCTAGCTCAAGCCCATTATTGAGTGATGAGTGGGAATTTCAGCAATTTCTCTTTTTTGTATCGCAATAAGTTGGACAGGAAATGAATGTATCTCACTGAAGAACGGGTTCGTTGAATATCCCAGGTTCGCACGCTAGGCTAAGCCGTAAATTGCCCACCCCTGTTTCTGAGAGTCACCGGTTGATATCACTTTTTATCAGCAATGCATTTACCTTTAATGATAGCTCGCTAGATTTTTCCAGGAAAATTACATGAAATCAGTATAAATACTGTTAAAACCGTGATATAATAGGGATAGTAAAAGGTTCATGTCGAATCTACTCTTTTTTAGAACTCGGATTCGCAATCGCGTTCATACTCAATTCTGATTTCGCAAACTTTATGATTACTCCCTCTATTGCTATATTTCGCTGAATTCTATCGCCGGTCTCGTCCCATCTCTAGTATTTTATTACAAATTTCGGACTTTCTGAAGTATGCACACCAAGATGGCGCACAACCTGAACTCAGGTTGTGTACCAGGTTAGGGTTCAGGTTATGCGACATCTTGGTGCGCATACTTCAGGAGTACCCGAATTTCTGTATTTTAGAATGACTAATTTTGGCAGCGAAAGTTACTTTTATTTTCGAAGCCAAATACTCGGTATTCTACAGTTTTAGTCGAATACTAATACAATATATTACAGTGTTAGTATTGAGAAGTTCCGAATTGGAATTATAGAGTTGGAGAAATTTGAATTCGTGAATTTCCTTTCGCTTAGTTCTATGCTCCCCAAAAAAGAATTTTGTTGGTTATGGTGAGAAAACACAAAGACTTCTTCGTAATCGGTGCAGTTTTATTATTTATTTTATTATCATCAGTGCAAAACATATTTATACACGCAATATAAATTCTTCAGAAGCCAGAGTGCGAATGCGTAACACTCTTGAAAGGTTGGAAAATTAAAAAAAGTTTTTATGCATAGTTGGGGAGAAAAAACAGTTTGAAAACAATGGGCAAAGGAAGGAATATATATCGAAAAAGATTGAGAAACGCTGGCTGTTTTCCTGACAGTCTTCCCTCGAATTGTGTCCGGTCCTGAGTCAGCCTCTTGGCATTTTGTTCAAAGATTACCATCTCGAGATTACCACCTCGCCTAGTTGGTAAATCGTTTGACTCGAATACACCAGACCCATGCTCACCACCTCACGCAGGGTGTAATAAAGTAGGTTAGCAATCCGGTTCCGGTCCTTCCAAAGAATAGTAGATACTCAGTGGCCGCCTATGGGAGTTGATCATGAAAGATATCCTAAGTAAGCAGCAAAATAAAATAAAAAATCAACGTCATATATTCAAAATACCAAAAATATTTGACATCATCAAACAATGGGCTAGGTCACAATACTCATTTAAATCGTGGCCCATTTTCACTGATCAGCTGTAAACTGGTGGACGCAATTTCACACAGTAAAGAATTGATTCTCATACAATCCTCATTTCGCATGTCTTTGCTAATAATTTTCATGAATATTCACATGACGTCATACATTTGTGACGTCATTCCTTTCGCAACAATAACACAGTCAATATAACAATAATTGTAAGAGCGACAGCAGTTCCAACAACAGCTCCTATTATGACGTACTTCCGCTTTATTCCTGATTCCCGGACAGGTTGAGAGCCTCTCTTCAATGTTCCTGAAATCAGGAATTGAGTTCAAATATTTTCCATATTATTCTAAGATAGGTGACCACAAAATTTTTTTGTCAGTGGGCCATATAACCAACTTCAGACATCTAGCCGAGCCACACAAAAACTTTAAGTTTTCCATGTACTTAACTTAACGAATTAATATAATAAAGGCACCGGACAAAACGGAGGAAGATTTAACTCAGCGACAAGAGCAAAATACATTATGTACTCTACCCACGTTAAAAATTTAAAACTGTCAGATCAGGATTTTATGCTTGATAGAGAAAAAAAGAATGTTGACAAGGGACACACACTGAATGGCTTAGGTGACCGGGTTTTGGCCTGCGGGCTGCCTGTTTCACACCGTTCTACTTCGGTTTCCAACTCATTTTTTTGACTTCAACTACTGATCCCGTCTCCGATTGAGAAGAAATAACGACTCCAGTCGGTGATTGGCGTATTTGCTGGTATTGGAGCCAAATTAATACTATTTATATTTCAAACCCAGAGTCGAAAATCGTCAATCCGGAGTTGGAGTCGATTATTCCATGAGATCGTATCCGGAGTACGGCACCTCACAAAAATTGCTCATATACCTGCTAAACTGACAGCCGTATAAACCTCGCTATTCTCCTCGTCGGATATCAAGTCTATCGCTGAATCTCTCAGAGCTGTTGCTTGTTTCATGACGTCATCGCCGGTTGAATGACGTCGTTTCACGATGACGTCAGCTGATGTTCTGTTGAAATATTAAACAAAATTGTAATATCAGTATTAATTATTAGTGGCATTGGTGACCTTTGTTGTCTTTCGACATTATGCTCTAGTCTAGTTCACAAAACAGCGCTATGCGCAAAAAATGCGACGCGGAAAATTGCGATACTTCCAAAATTATAGTTGCTCCTTCTAAAAAAAAAAAAAGCCGGAAAAGACGAAGTCCAAAAATAGAATACTACTACGTACCATAGTCTATGCTAAGGTTTCTGCCTTAAAAAACAGTACCGTCTCACGTACGTATCGGTGTCTGTCTATACAAAGACATTGTCCATGCCAAGGTCCCTTTATATTAAAAAACAGTGGCACCCTTACGTATCAGTGCTTGTCTATAGCTGTCTATCATTCAAGCGTGGAAAAACACAGTATAAAAAATAAACGTTTGCTCTATGGCCTAGCTGGTAAAGCGTTAGACTTTACTGTGTTGCCATCGTAGAGTAAGATGTTGAGTTCAAATATCACGCTCCACACCTCACTCAGGGTGCACGTGACCTCATTCGCAGCGAGAATGAACGTCGTATAAAAAAAGTCAAAATTCGTTGAATTTCAAATGCTGTATCAAAAACTCACTTTCTTGTGGCTCTCAGTGATTTGCTCTTGTTCATCGCTGCGATCCGAGAAGCTGAAAAGAAAATTAGAAGAGTGAGATATAGAATCCTGTATATAGGTTTATATATACGGGGCTCAGTCTTGTCTTTTGCTCCGAACTAGGCTCTACACACGCAGCAATGATATCTAACGCTTGGTGTGGAGATACTCATTATTAACCCTAACCCGATTTATTACACCACGGAAGAAGGGGTGGTGTCATTTCAATCCGAGATGTGTAATCTGAGACGCCTCAACTGCTAGGTCATCGCGTCGCTCTTAAAACGCCACGTTTAATAATAATAAAAATTTACAAAGGCAAAACAGTAAATGCAAAACAGTCAAAGAAAGAAACAAATAGCGATTAATGTACTTCAATTAATGTTGTCAGCAATCGTGAATGGTGCCCAGTGAAGGTTTCCGTGGCTCGTGCCCTCCAAAGAATCACCCCCCCCCCCCCTTTTAGGGGGCAGAGTGTGAAAAAACGTGAAGTGCAAGGCGTGAAAAATCATCGAGTAGAATATTGCAAACACTTACCAGATTTTTGTCTTTGTGTAGCGGATTCTTTCTTTAGTGGCGTCATTTTTATAGTGACGCCATCTCTGGAGTCTGACTGCTGGTTGATTACAAGGTTATGTTCAGTCAACTCGGAATCACTTTCCGATTCTGACGTAGACCATCGCGACGACGTAAACAGATTACGTAACGAGTCGCTTTTTGAAGGCTCAACAGTGACATCCAGTTTCGAATGTTGCTGTTGAAAAAAATCAAACCTAGTTTAGATAATTTTGTCGCATAACTAAACCTTATTTGAGGTTTAAGCCACTTCTCTGTCCTGTGTGTTTGTTCATTTTGTGCCATAGGATATAATTTACATATTTATCCCGGGGGAGAGGAAAGTTGATAAGACGGCCTAATCGTATAGCGAACCACGGCCTCTCGTCTGGTCACCAGTCCATGTCGGGTATGGGATTAGTTAACTAAATATTTTGTTTTCAGGTGCATGAACTTGATGGTGGAAGAGCCCGTAACCGACCAGCGGTTACGTGTACCACCCTATGGCGGCGAGGAATCCTCTCGCACATAATTATCCCCGCATGAAATTCAAATCTGCAAACCCAGGCATGGTAATCAGAGGTGCGGTGGCGAGAGTATTCCTAACGCTTAGCACGATGCGCCACACCTTTGTGGAGATCAAAGTAAGTTATCTTATCTAATCTCTAACTTTAGAAAAGATCACAAGATCATTTATTTAGAGCAGATAATGATCACTTCTTAGTTAAACATCAGAGTTAATTATCTCTTGTTCACATCCCATACCCACCGCCTCACTTAGAGTGTAATGAATTAGTTAGGTGATGCCGAACCTGGAATATTTCGTGGCGCTCCAGAAGTATGTGCACCAACATGGAGGGAACTAATTTCGTTTGCCTATTCAATATCTAGTTGCATAAAGGGACTGAAACTTATGGGCACGGGTATACTCACTTGGCTAACAAGGACAGTCCCCGAACTCGTAATAGAGCTAAAATAAGGAAAATCGGAATAAAATTATGGCCTAATCCTAACTTGGTACATATACTACGGGAGTACCTGCTTCCTAAAATGTCGTTTTTCTGTACATATCGTTACGTATCTGTGCTTGCTTTGACAATCCCTTGTTCGAAGCGAAAGGCGTGAATAAGCGTCGTATAAACTAAAGAACCGAGTTCAAAAGTCAAAGGTCATGTACTTACGTCATGGAGGTCAAATGATATGGTTCGCTTCCTTCCTTCTTCTTCATCTTTTAGGCGAGTCAAAGAAGACTTCAACGAAGATCTGGAATTTAATTTTATGCGTTAGTTTTAAACTCTCCGTAGTTGAATTTAATATTCCAATTTTTAGAGGACGGAGTTTCAGACTCTTAACTACACGATAATATGGTAAAATTTTGAAGCTCCCGCAGTAAAAACTGGCGCAAAGACTGTTTGCTTGACTAAGCATTTCTAACAGTAAATTAGAGTGGTTCTCAAACTTTCTAGGCCGCACACCTTTTTTACAATTTGTCAAGTCTCGCGCCGCAACTTATAAATAACTAGCCAACATTAAGCTACAAATAATAGAGGTGAGAGTATGTTTTATTCAAAAAACACGTTGAAAATACCTGGATGGAAAGTAATTAATTAATGAAAAGTTTTAAAAACACGGCGGGCAAAATTAAATGTTTTTATTTTTGATTAGCACTACACCCCGTCTTAATTTCAATCGGAATTTTTGGCAATCCAAAGGGGGAGCCAAAGTTCTTCTATGCGGTGATATTTTGAATTCTCTATGCAGTGGTTGTCGAGTGGGGTTCCGCCAGTACAGTCAAGGGGTTACGCAAGTTTCAATTTGAATCCGAGATTCTATATTATTAAATGTGAATTGTTCAAATAAAAAGGCTATCAGGTTTGCCACTAATATTAAACTTGCTACATTTGACAAACATTGTATTTTGCCATAATTGCCACGGAGCGGTTTGTGGACACTAATAGCGTGAATGAATGCGCGATGAATACAATGAATTAATTAAAGTAAGTTGATTGTGATTTATTTGTCTGCAAAGCTTTATTTTTCGTTTTTTTGTGTTTTTTAATATTTATTGGTCGCAGGATGGTTCACGCAACCGCTCGCTCGTTGGTTACGGCTTCCCCTAGAATCAAGTCCATGCGTCTGGAACGAAGAACTGGCTAACTAATCCCATACCCGACATAGAATGGTAACCGTACGAGAGGCCATGGTTCTACGTATGATTAAGCCGTCTTATAGGCTTTCCTCACCTCCAGGATAAATATGTGAGCCCTATCCTAATGAGGCGCATAAAATAACTGATGGATGGATACCTGTTTAGGTTTTTTAAAAATAGTTCGGGAATCACTGACTATAATATCACCTTCCTGTTTCGCTTCGTTTGGTTTGGCTTATTTCGTCACAATCGAGTAATTTGACTGGAACGTTGTTGACACATATTTCCGGTGTTTGTGACGTTGTTACCTGCGTGAGAAAGATTATGCGATTTTAAATGATAATGATGCGACATGCATTTCAAAAATGTATTTAAAATTTTCGGATGAAAGATATATTGCTCCAGAGTCGGATACCCGTTCACAAGCTCCGACTCCATAGCCAGATTTTAAAAAATTGCATGTTCTGCGTGCGACTTTCAGACATTTTCCGAAATTAAATATTTGAATATAGCCCCGGAGTCCGACTCCGGTTCACAAATTTTTCACAACTCCAACACCGGAGGATGAAATAATGACGATTACTGCTATTCTCATCCGCAGTCCAAATCCGGTAAACAATCTTCGTCTCACACTCCGGAGTACAAAAATTGACGTCAATTACACTTAGTCATTATTTGAAACTGAATCGTAAAATCATGGACGACAAAAAACATATCTCTAGAGTTGAAAAAATTTCCGTCCAAACCGGAATGGCTAGTTTAGGAAAACAAATGATTTACGGATCCGGATTGAAAAGCTTCGACTCCAACATTTATGTTAGCAAACCTAGCGAGCAAGCAAAAATCTTTGAATAGTTACCATGGTTTTTGATGACGTTTTAATTTCTCTGACGTCAATAAAATCAGGTTCAGAATCTTCTGTGAGGTCATTAGTTTCGTCATCATGTGACATTTTATATATATTTAGTCATTAAGGTAATGTTACTATAATGGTGGTTTTATACCTAGTTAAAAGATAATAAAACGTGTAAAGACCAGTTGCTTTTCAGTTACAAAATCTCAATTCTCAGCTAAAATTCTTATTTCGATTCAATCGACAGGCTTCGCCATAGGCAACCGGGGAGAAATTTCTCCCCAGCTAGGTTTTTGCTGATTTAAAAGAGGAAGTTTGCTTTGTATTCGATGTAGTATTACTAGTATTCTTTAGTTTTTATATTATTATCATAATACTAATCTTGCAATCAGAATAAAAGAATCGACCCCGACTCCAAATCAGCCAAATTTTGTCGACAATAGGTTTGGCGTTTGCATACCTTCTTACATTATTTTATTCTCGTAAATTCCGAAACCGACTCTCACTTACTCAAACTCGTAACCTTGACTTCTTCGGTTTGGTTCAAATTGCGAATCCGACGATAATTCTAAGAGAATATAACTTTGGCTTAACCTCTAGGCCAGTTTTGTCAAACTGGGCCCTTGTCCATCCTATCCCAACTAAGCCATCGTTTGAGGGCCACAATCATCATTCGCCATAAGTACATTAATTAGGTTAATTGACCACGGGTTGTTAATTCCTTGACCGTAATGCATTCATTTTTTAATATTCCCGTAGTATGTGAACCAAGATTGCGGACACCGGAACGTAGTATGTGTACAAGGTTAGGGTTGGGCCATAATTCCAGATACAAAGACTACGGAAGTCACTTGGCTAGCCCCGAACTCGTAATAGAACTAAAATAAGGAAAATTGAAATAAAATTATGGCTTAACCCTAACCTGGTACACATACTAGATTCCGGGATTCTCCATCTTGGTTCACATACTACGGGAGTACCCGTTTTTTCGATTTCAATTGTTGACTTCTTATTATTAAACATAGCGACTAAAATAACCGATCAGACATCAAAAAAATCTGGCGTAAAAGTATCAGGGTTTCAGTTGACAATCAACCTAACGCAACCTGACAATCAGCCTAACAAAGCCTTGTACAGAAGCTACCATAATTCCATAATCTTTTCACATCGGCTTTGCTTACTCAATTTATTACATCATAAGTGAGGTGGTTGGTATGGGATTTGGACTCGAACCTACGACGACAACTCAGTTGAGTCGAACGAACGCTTCAATCACCAGGCAATCACACCTAACTTCTAAACCTGACATCGGCAAACTACTGAATCTGGCCTGTTGGTTAATTCAATCCGACCCACCTGATGCGCCACGAGTGATCACGACCAAACTGAAACTAAATTTTGATGGAGGCTTATCGTTCACTACTTTTGCTTTTGTAACATTGTAAATATTTTTCATAAAATTTTCGTAACTTTTACGCCACACTCACATGGTACGCCAGTCTAGGTGGAACAATTCTTGGCCCCTGCTCCAAAAACCTTGTCCCCCCTGTTCTAAAGCCTAACATCTGCAAGCTGCGAGGCCACTACGTAATAACAACCAGGCCTTACTCTGCAGTACTAGGCCATAAGCCACTTCCTACCTTCCAGCCCTTCAAAATAGCTTTTCGACGCTTCAACTGTCTGCGCGAAAGTTATGAGTAATAACTGCTATGCTTGCTCATGATTTCGGAAATTACGTCATTTTATTGAATTCCCAGACGATTATTTACGGCCTCATAGCGCCACCTTGCGAAAGCACAGTCTGCAATGCCCCAACAGGTCTGTAAAGTTGAATCGAACTCCCTGGGATCGGACCCGACATTATGAATCGGAATTTATGAATTTAAGGATGATAAAATAAAACAAAACTTTCTATTAAAACCTAAAAAACATTAATTTTATTGAGCAGTTCATTTAAAGAGGCATGTACACCCCAAAATGACTCGAATAAGTGCACGTCGCTTTACTATTCCCAAATGCTATACGATTTCTCCATTTAATTTCAGTATCTCTCGAAATTTTCGTTGTCGTCTGTGACTATTCTTTTTTTCTCTCCGAGTACATGTAACTCACCACCATAACTACGTTTAGTTCTAGTAATTCCTTGCAATTCAACGGTCGCCCTTGACTTTACTCAGAGATGAGTCTTTTCTACTTCTGAGTGAGTGCGCGTGATACACCGCCAATATTCAATATATATTCAGTGCCTCTTGGCATTTCAAAGTTATAAAGCGTAACTCATATTCGACATAAACATAACTTTTGTGCAAAAGGTCCTGGATCACTCGAACTTATCATACACGAACAGAAATTAATGGGTTCTGATTTGGGTTCACTCGGTATATATAGGTTGTAAACCGAATATATAGGAATAAATAGGGTTTTTACACAAATCGTGAATATAAACTCGTAGAAACAAGATGGCGGGTTTCCTAGCTCAAATGACCTTTGCCCCCGTCCTAACCAATCATAGATCCCGAATGTTTTTTTTTTCCTTTTATTTACAAATTATTACTGGTGGTTGAAAAACAATTAAAACATAACTGTTAATTCAATTAAATTTTTAGGTAACTTGAAATTCGTGGCAAATTGAAATTAAACAAATATAGGATTTTTGACATATCAGGACTTTTTAAATTGTTGGAGTTGGAGTCAAAATTTTGTTCTTTCCGGAGTTGGAATTTCAAACTCCACAAAGCAGTCAAAATATAGTTTTAGAATTTGAAATGAAATTGCTAAAATTATAATTTGGTAGATCATAATTGTGAAATTGAGGTCTAAATTTTGGTCTCTCCAGGGTTTGAATTTTGAATTTTTAAAAGTGGACTACGAATTTTCCATCAACCAGGGATTGAGAGTGAAACTATCGCAAGGAGGATATTTGAATTGGACAAGTTTTATTAGGTAGTATAGTGAGTTGGTTGATAATATGCCGTGTCCAGTTGTTGAAGGTTTCTTAGGAAGAAAAATTTAAAAATCAAAACCCGACCAGAAGGAAGGAAAAATGACAAAACTTTGGGGTTTTTCATGCAAATTTCTAGCACGCAAATTGAAGGGTAGGGAACCAAATAAATTTAATATTGCAACATTCTTCGAAAACGTGGAACGAGAGATCGGAAAAAGTTTTAAAAATTGAAGTCGGTGTCAACGGGAATCGAACCCATCTTCCTGGTTTCATCAACAAAGTACTCGGGTCCTATCTCGGCTGGTTCGTAGGTGAAGATCATCAACTTATTGGATGCAACCACTGGGACGACGATCTCGTTGAAACCGTCATGATTCAGATCTTCGATTGATATGGCGCCAACAGCTCCTCTTGACTTGTAGATCTAGAGAAATGGGAAATGATTAGCGCTGGGGTTAAAATTTCTGAACCCCAAGTTTTTTTTACTTCTGTGTAATTGAAGAATCTCGCAACACAAATGCATTTACATTCGTTTCAGTGCGCATCAATACTCTCGAAGTAAAGAAAACTTGTTTCTGAAAGAAATTGCTAGCGAACGCTGAAACTATTGGAACTATATACATTTATAGTCGGGCAAATCTGCGGGTTACCAGCGATACGCCAAGAGGTATAGGTTTGCATTTTGAATTTAAACTTTGACCCCTGCTTCATAGATGTGGAGACTCTGCGACCCTGGTCAGAAAACGGACATGGAGTTATACTCACGGTGTGCTTGGTGTATTTCCAATCATTAGTCTTTGGCGAGTCAGGCACAAGAACATAGACTTGTCCGTCGTCGTCACCCGACACCATGATGAACGGTTTCTTCTTTCTAGATGAGGAAAGGAACAGTTATTACGGCCTAACACAGTAAAATTCCGGTGAAATTTTGTTTTTTTAATTTATTTACAAATTAATACTGACGGTTTAAAAACTATCAAAACATAACCGATACTTCAATTAAATTAGTAATTCACTTTTCCACCATATTAAAATACACTTTATGAATGAACAATACAAAAAACAGAAAAATGATTCTTCAAGGTAAAGGGAGGCGCAATAAACAATGAGGAAAATACTAGTTATTAGTGTTCAACCAATCCCAGTCTCACCCAGTTATTCGCTCAATTTTGGACACAAAGACAAAGTGCTCCTAAATGTCATACAAAATTGTTCCCGTGAGTTAAAAATCGCAAAACTTCGGGTCAAATACCAGGCATTCAGAATAAATTTAGTGTTCCCCTTTTACCCGTCTAATTTAATGAAAGAATGAAAAGCTTCGATCTTGAAATTGTTATATTTATTAGATTTTTGAGTCATACTATTTGAAAATCACAAATTGCCTCATTTTTAATATTATTTTTGTTTCACTACACCCGGAATAAAATTAATGTTCTTTTTTTTATTACCAGGATTCCATGTCTACTAACAGGATAAAAAGCGGTGGACATAAAACTTGTATAATAGTCAATTCCAAGTCATACTGTTTGGAATAATATATTATTTTTTCCATTTTACAACATTCAAGATAAAATTATTGTTCAACTTTACTCTCCCAAACTTTTAAGTCTGATAACATGCTGAAAAGCATTAGAATCGAAATTCCTAAACAATTTTCAAACAAAATTTATCTCATTTTTTTTGTTAAACTACACCCGAAATAAAACAATATACCCCATTTACCCGTCCAGGCTTCCATGTCTAATAATAATATAAAAAGCGTTGCGATCGAAGTTTCGATTTTTAAGATGTACTGTTTGATAAAGCACAATTCCCCGCTTTTGCGTTATCTACACGCGGAATAAAAGCAATGTTCTCCTTTACCTGTCCAGGCTTCCATGTCTAATAACAGGATGAAAAGCGTTAATTTTTCCTCCAGATCCAAGGTCGGGAAGATCAGATGCAAGTCCGCCATCTATGAGGATGTGCTTCCTCCACTCGTCCCGTATGAAGTCACACGGAATCTCGTAGGCGATCACAGACCCTTGTTTTGAGCCGTGGCTGAAATAGGAAAGATTCGGATTAATAGTTAACTAACAGGAGTGTGCAATCTTTAATACAGGAGGACCAAATAGAAACTAAATGAAACCGCGGGCCGCAACATTATTCAACATAGGTAATCTATTAGATGCACGCACGTAACCCTAACCTGGTACACATACTACGTTCCGGTGTCGACCATCTTGGTTCGCATACTTCAGGTGCACCTTAGACTCAGGTATACTCAGGCCGCACATCATTCGAAATTGGCGCAATTCCGCGGGACGCATAAATTTTCTTTGAGGGCCGTATTTGGGCCGCAGGTAGCACACCCCTGAACTAGAACCTCAGTCAGTAGTTTATTTAACACATGCCAAAACACATTGTACACAGGAGAGATACAAAATGAATTTCAGTGTGAGGGAGACTCGATAAACCAGTGATAGATATCGAGCAGCAGGGGTTCTCAAACTTCAGTGTCCGTGGTCCCCTTTCAAAGACTCTCAACTTTGAATAATTTTATTTTGTAACGTTCTGCGGTGCTTTAGTACAGAGTAATCAACTAATACTCTAGTATCAATCACTTCCAATTAAATCTGGGCTTCTGAAAAACAAATACCTAACTAACCCAATACCCGACATTGACTGATAACCGGACGAGAAACCGTGGTTTGCCATATTATTAAGCCGTCTTAACGGCATTCCTCTATTCCGGGATAAATATGTAAAAATTCTATCCTAAATCACACTTGCATTTTTTGTCATTTGGAATAGTCTGACTTTGCTCAAATAAAATTACTGCTTTGAGCAGACTTGTTACGAAAAATATCATATTTCCCAAAATTACAGCGATTACCTCCACGTGGATACAAGAATGTCATCTCTTCCATCTGCGTTAATATCAGCGAGTTGCAAATCAAAGAACCATCCATGATTGTCAATGACCCTTTCCTTAACTTGTTCCGGGTCGGTCCAATCTTCTTCCGGGTCTAAAAGTAGAGGAGAAAGTTCATAGGATTATCATTTTTATTGACCTTTTTTTGAGAGAATTTCTGAGACCTTTTCTCATAGTAAAGTGGCGCGCAATCTCTCAGGAGTAAAAAAAAGCTCATTTCTAAGACAAATCGAGGCCGACCACCAAAACGCCAAGAACTATTGAAACTATATAGATTTATGGTCGGAAGAAACTGTAGGCTACCACCAAGAGGTAATATGTAAAATTACGACAAAGCAGTGTGCGCCAGTGAATACTGTTCAACTCGAGCAATTCAGGTATAATCGGGATAACAGGTATGAAGTACAAGCAAGGTTCCCTCTAATGTGCGCTATTGCGCAATACCACCAGGCCATTTGCGCAGTAAAATCTCATTCTCGCGCAACATCACGTTTACGAAGCGTGGCTCGTCATCTTTTCTAACGACTATCTAGAATGCCCGTTTCGTGTTTCACATGTAGTTTGATTGCCACTGTTCATTGTGATGTCACACAGGTATCTGTTGCGTCCACGTACAGCACCTTGTTATCTCTGGAATCATCTGTAACGCGCTATTATTAGCCGATCATACAATGCCATCGCTGTCCGGTCCGGTGTCGTATTTCAAGGAGCTATCAGAGTTAAATTTGTACTTTGTTCGCATTCTTATAACTTATTCTACTGTTGTAATATTTCACAAATTTTGTAAATTATTTAGAACTCTGTTCAGCCTTAGAATATCCATGCTCATTGAAACAAACATTTGCTCAGTGTAACTTTTCCTTAGAGGGTACACTGGTACGAGTTTCCAGTCCAATCTCTCACATAACATTGTCGAAAACAACAACAATTTAGCAACAAACTCCATTTTGTATTCAATAAGACTCGTACATACCATCGGTCCAGACAACGTACAGCTTGTTATCCCAGTACCCAGCTCCGATCAGAACTTGTCTGCTTTCGCCACTAGGTAGCGGTATACGGAGAACTTCAAAAGCGACATCTGGTCCGTGAGTAATGGGGTGAGAGCGCCAACTAGAGGAAACAAAATATGGATATTAATTTATTGACAAATGTTATAATAAGGAACATAGTGGAAACCTTTTGCAGAGCGGTGATCCATGTAGTAAATCACTTACACTTATTAAGTCACTTACTCTTCTCTTGCCTAAGATACGATACAACTCAACAATATTCGAGAGTAAAATATCAAAATGACGTCATAACATTGATTGCGTCACATACTTCCTTCTTACTGAAGATACGATACAGCGATAGGCAATACTCAAAATAACATAGCAATAATCAAAGTCATAGTATTAATTACGTCACTTACTTTCCTCGTACTGAAGACACGAGATAACGATAGCCCGGATGTTCAAACCAAACCAGCTCAGATATTTTGATTGATCCGGGCATACCACGTGATCTTGACGTCACAATATCAGGCCAGCCGTCTTGGTTCATATCCATCCACTTCACCCCGGAGTAATACCAATTCTTCCCGTTTGTTCCCGATGATATGTGAATTGGATTATGGGTAATTTCTGTTCCGGTTGGCAGCTCCGTCACGGTCCTATGAATATAAATATATAGGATCGTGCTAGTCCTATTATAAATAGATTGAATATACGTTATCCAGTGAAATCCGACACATAACATTTTCTCACCCGTTCAATGGCAGGAAAACTAGTCTGCCTTCCTCTTCTTGGGGAAGATAGAACACCGTACTCGCCCACCAGATGTCCTCAGTGCTTCCGGGCATTATACTCCCTGAAATATTAAAAAAGACACATCTCAGAACGAAGTTACAGGTAATCACTGTAATGCCAAGAGTTGCCGGAGTCATATGAAATCTCGAAGACACGTTGCGTTTTATCGTTTTATTAATCAATTGACACGATATTTGAAGCAGTTTTTGTCAATAAGACCAGGACAAATCTATAACAGGGGTGGGCAATTGCTTCACTGAGTGGTCCAGTTACCTATAATAGACTTGATTACTGGGCTGAAGGCTCAAAACTCAATGTCAAAAACTAGGAATAAAAAGCAGTTCATTTACAACAGCTAGGCTAACGTTCATATGATAGTAAGAAGCACAATGTAATAAAAGAGGTCTGTAGGCCGGATGAAACACTTAGGTGGGCCAGATCAGGCCCGCAGGCCGTAATTTGCCCCCCATGAAGTAAAAGGTTGTGAATTCGACAAAAATATATTGCTGGGGAAACGAATATGTCAGTTATTATTCTGAATATATTTCATATTCACCTTCTACTTTTCCAACGGAGTTAGGCCATCCAATGTTTTTACCCACTGTGCTTATCTTGGCAGGTTTTTCATGACGTAACCACGGCGTGACGTCACGTATACGTAACAGAGAAACTTCATTCGTGGTCAAGTTGTGCATGTTGACTGCAAGTTCCACCTCGTTACGGGGTCCCTCGACCATCTGAAAAGAAAGCCATTCGTTTAGAAGGAAGTAAGTACAATGAGTGATAAAGTAATTTTAAACTTGTGTCTCACGGGTCACGAGTCTTCTTACTAACACAAATGTATTTCTGCAAGGTTTACATTCTTCAGATTCATGAAATTTAGGGATGCATTAGTAAGTTTGTTTCTTTGTATTTATTCAAGAGTCTTGCTACACACTAACACAAATACATTTCTGTAACGTTCCGTCTAATCGCGTTCTGACTTTTTTGGGCAACCATATTTAAATGTGACAATCATACTAAACGTTACAAAAGAGCAACCCTCGAACCACTCGGAATACAAGCGCGTAGCCAGCACAAATGTTTTATTTTGAGGGATTTCGAATCTAAGGTGCAAACAGGCAGGTCCTTTTGTATTATGACGTGACGTCACTGTATTATGAAGTTTTTAATTTTTTTGAATTCCTACTTCTGCAGATTTTCTGTTTTCCATAAATAGGAATAAGGCACCTCTCGAAATTTGAGTGAAAACCGCTCTCCGCGCTGATCACAAATATGACGTCACTTCTTATTGTGACGTATCTTTTCATTACGACGTTGAATTTTCCTATAATTACGTTACACTTTGTTTTTTTAGTCATGATTTTCGTAATTCTTTCAACACTCTCTTCTTAAAACTGTTTTCTCACCTGGACAAATGTAGGGCTCCCTTCAAGATGAAGTTCAGCAACGAGGCGTGGTCTGAGATTCTGGTCTCGCATTCTCTCCCAGGATTGCATCCAATTTTTCTGCATTCTGTTCAGGAATTTGCTGAACGACGGAAAATACATGGAATTAGATTAGTTTAAGAAGACTTGCGCCCAGATTTATACGCATTTTAGAATAGGATGATATTTACATAATTCTCCAGAGTGAGAGAAAGCCTATATGACGGCTTAATCAAATCGTATTCCTAGCGCTTAGTACGATGCGCCACACAGCCGAGCCTATTTCTGCATGTGTTTTTTCTCCAAACATAGCACTGCTAAAGCATCCATTGCTATGTACTGGTGCTACTTTAGTTTGGAAGAACCAGCATAGCCCACCCAGTTTATTACAATATGAACAAATTCCGAGTTCAAATCTCATCAACTCAACCAGAGTGTAAAACCGGAATGATTTCCCCTATACAGTTGTTTAGTAGATTTTTACAAGAAGCATTTTCAGATTAGAACTTTGTCTCAAGAGACAGCAAGATCTAAAGAATTCAAATTTTGAAAATACCTGAAATAACAGGAACCAGGAACCACAAGAAACGCGGAACACAGGAAACAGATGAATATAACTGAATTCCTCATTTTTGAATCTCTTTGCCAAATATTGAAGTTGATCAAATATGGTTTATTATCTAACAATCTAAAGTCAAGCATAAAGCATAAAAGTTTTTTAAATTAGTTTTCCTCCATCGAGTAGAATTGCGGGCCACAACCCGCCCGCTAAGCCATTTCGTGTGGCTCTTATCAACACTCAGATCGCTCCCTATCAAGCATAAAATCTTAATTCGACAGTTCGTGTTCAAAAAGGCGCACATATGGGGAAACTAAATAAATAATAAATTATAACTTAATTGGTTGTGTACACGAAAAACCAATTTATTTTCGTGGTTTAGCTAGATGGTAAGGCAAACTGGTAGCACTTTAGTGCGTATGCACAGTAATGGTCAAAAGCCTTTGCTCATAGAGCAAAAATAATGTGACGAAGTCTTCTAGAGCAGACCCCATGAAAACCCATTTCCCAGACAACTGGCGGGCCGATCCGGACGAAACTTGGCACGTATGCAGGGCAAGGTGTCGTGATGACACAGAAAATTTTTCAGAACGATCGGGCCAAAGGAAGTGGGCCAAAACGGTATTTTAGTGGCCCGAAGCTGCTGATTGGTCAATCGGCTGTCCATCAAGTCACGCAAGAGTGAGTTTGGGGTTCAGAGGCCGTTTAGCACCGTTTCCGGGGCCAGAAAGCGTTTGGCCGAGTATTGGGAATTTTTCCAAGTATAATTGGGGGTGGGGGCAGTGCCACCACCCCCCCAGTGGTGAGAAAACGTGTGGAAAGCCACGCCCACTTATGTAATATGGTTTTTGGGCTATTAGGAGCACTTGGAATCGGTTTTTGGGCAAAGTGATGCTTAAATCTCAAAGGGACCAATATATAGAATATTTCACCACCTGAATCTTGGGACATCCCCCTCCCAATCGCCCTCCAGTGGCGTAAGAAGGTTGCGCACATAAAAATGAAGCTATCGAGAAATAAAATAGATAGGTATGTTGGGAAAATTTAGTTTAATGCTTTTTTCAAGAAATTTTTTTTCTCATACTCCCCAGTCATGGTCTAGTGATTTTGGCTTATTGCAGGCCTCTGAAAGGACCTATTAGGAAAGTAAAGGCATGGGCATGTTAAGAAAAATTATTTGAATCTATTTTGGAAGAAATTTTATTTCCTCATCTCCTCAGTCACGCTCCAGTGATTTTACGTTATATCTCGAGAATGGTAATAGGTAGAGATGCCATATTTGGGTCATACAAGGTAGTTGAGGTCTAGTTTATGTCAAAAAAATTTCGTCACGGTTGAGTGATCACGGACCTTATAATTGGAAAAATTCGACTCCGGTCAGGGGTGATCAGTTTATTACGTGGTATTTGAACTTCTTAATGGACTGAAGGGGTCGGGGGCAGAGCGCCGGACGAATTTCCGCCATTCGTCCGGCGCAACGACCCGGGTCCTCCAACAAACTTCAAACAAACATCTGCTTCTTAATTTACTAAAAATATTTCTATACATTTCCCCTCGCGGGTAGCGTAGCGACCTCCCCTGGATGGCTGAAGTTGATAATTTGACCCGCAAACATAGAATGTCGCACAACCCTGCCCTATTATGGTGAGCAACATATTGATGAATAAATGATGAAATGGTGTCTTATGCATCAGTGGCTACTTCTTCATAACCTCGTTCAGAGCGAATATCCTAATCATGATCTTCGCCTCTGTTTTAGTCCTAAATCCCTCGCTTAAGCAAAATGCTTTTCATAGTTCGCTCATAAACACTTCTACTCTATTTCTACTGTCTAATCACAATTTGCTGGGCATAATTGCATTGTTGCGTCACAGATGAACTTTGGACTCAAAACATGCTATGCCGCGTGCTAACACGGCGGACGCCACCGAGAATATAAGTGATAAGAAGAGGCCCCAATGAAACGATGTTTTAGAAAAGGAGTTAATATAAGATGTGATATTATTGATGCAGTTATAAAAAGTGTTAAGTTAATTGGCATTTGCAAGTTACCAGACTGTGTACCGCTGTTACTTGGAAACTTTTATTATTATCGGTGTAGTAAAGATATTCCTTCTACCTAGAATGGTAAATCTTCTCTTTTATTACAGTAAGATATTTTATTTTTTGAATGGGGAGCATGTACTAGACCTGGGATGGACAAAGTATGCATTTTGTGCGCTCTTGAAAAAAAAAACGGGTTTACTATATTTCAATCCGTTTCTATTTAAGTTTTTTTTTATCTCATTCAATAGAATTGTAGGAGACAACAACAACAACTTGTATGCATTTTACGCGCTCCTGAAAAAAATACAGGTTTCCTTTATTTCAATCCGTTTCTATGCAATTTTTTTTTTAATCTCATTTAATAGAATTGTAGGAGACAACAAACTATATATGTAATTGATGAATTTCCTCTGCAATTTTAACAAATTTAGTACTTTATGAATTCCTGTGCCATATCTAAATCCTTTGCTACAACTTTGAAATGGCAGATACCAGATCAGACCTGCCGGCTGCATATATTTCGTCTCGTACATTTCATAAATTATTGAAAATATCGAAACCAAGAATTATTAACATTATTATTTTTTTTTCTGGTAACCTAACCTAGTTATATGAGCCTTACTATTTTGTCATTGCCACACCGCCATAACTTTCCAAGGTTTTTTTCATTGAATAAGTTGTTTAAATAGAAAATGGCGGTGACCCAATTCGGCACTATCCTGATATCGCCCCACCACTAATTTTTGATAAGTGAGGAGATTCTATTTAGGTTAGGTCAGAATAAGTTGCGCAATACCTAACGCAAGCCAAAATCTAACTAACTATATTGGGTAACCCCCCTCTTCTTCCAAAAAAACTGTTAGATAAACCTGTAAACTTCCGTTATACTATGAGATGACCTTTGATCCCAAACGATATGTAATACCGGTATAGTGATTATAAAAATCAAATCGTAAACGCAATATTTGCTTTGCTACTCAACCAAACACCTCGTAAACCTATGACAGGCTGAAATAAATGTTTGCGCAAAACGATCAGGACAAATATCGCGTGACACTAAATTTATATTAAACAAACAAACAAAACTGATTTGAACTTCAATAAACTTTCCAACTCAACCTGATGTAACCTGAGAAAAAATGTTTGAATTTTTATTATGACGTTTCAATTGCAGGAAACAATAGTAACAATTGGCCCAATAGTTGCGGTATTGTTACGTAACTATCGACCTTATTCGGTGGCGGGAAATTGGTCTTGTGTGAAAAAACAAGTTATTGACTGGTTTTTGATCAGAATTTTTGAGGAAAAATCTTTTATCAGCTAGGATAACAAAAACAAATTAAATATTCGGATAGATTCGAAATTCGTTATATTAGATATTAAAAATTCGGTACTCCTGAAGTATGCGCACTAAGATGTCGCACAACCTGAACCCTAACCTGGTACACAACCTGAGTTCAGGTTGTGCGCCATCTTGGTGCGCATATTTCAGGAGGTCCAAAAAGTCTTTAATGCTGGAATGATGTAAAATATAAAAAAAAACATTTTGTGTAATTCGAGTCTCATTATATGTAATATATTATGTACATGAGCTGTTCCTAACTGGGGGCCTGTGACCCACCAAGGGACCCACGAAGCGGTCAGAGGGGGGTAATAATGCTAGACGCAAAAACAATTTTAATTTTCTCTTTCACAAGAAAACTCCCCATTCTTCATAGTTTCATTGCTTGATAAGATTATTTCACATGGTGTTGAGCATGAATTGTTTGAACATAATGGAATTGGGATTTTATCAAACAAAATAACACTCTGAATACCACTCGAACAGAGGTCGGCAAACTACGGCCCGCGGGCCAGATCCGGCCCGCGAAACAATATAATCCGGCCCGCGATGCTTCACTGAATTATAATAACAAAACAGCTGTATTGACGATTATATTCTTTACGTGTATAATTCAATCACTCGTTTAATGAGCCTATAAATTGATTATTATTAGACAAATGGCAACAGAACGTAAAAAAGTTGATGCTCAGTGCAAATGATTTAATGGCGCCGGAAATATTCAAATGGTCAGTCTTCGCGCGCTGCTTGGAATTTAATTGAAATCTGTGTGAAAAAGTGCGATTCATTGGTCATTCCCTCGGTTTTTAACTTTCCAAAAATATGTGCGGCCCGCCAATGACTTACAACCTTTAATTTTGACCCGCTAACGACAAAAGTTTGCGACCCATGCATTAAAATGATAAACAGGGGGCCATGCGCGCCCAAACCATCCGGGAGTGGTCCACGAGCCATGAAAGGTTGGGAACCACTGATGTGTATATTACGTATGAGTAATGTGTTAGGTCGATTTCCAGTTCTGGTTCTCCACAGCTTTCACTATCTTAGTAAAACTGTATCTTTACTTTTGTCTCATGCTTCTTGTAGGATATATCTGGTAAAAAGAAAAACTTCATTTATTCAGAAAGTCACCGGACTTTTTCAAAGGAAATATTGCGGTGTTACGGGCAGCTGTATCGAAGTACACGGATTAGGATAAAATAACACCGTAATGTATAAATAAGACTAATTAGACTCGAAACGTACATATGGACCATTTTGTTAATATGTTTCACCTTGTTGTTGTTTCCTGCGATGGATCATAATTCACTTCAATGCATTATCAACAAGACCATCAGGCGAGCCGCAGTTCATACCCGGCCTGACAAGCCATTTAGAGACCCCTTGTTAACACTTAGATTCAACCCACCCATCACATAGGTGAATATACCTAATTATTTTTGCTCTTATCGCTGCGTTAAATATTTCACCGTTTTGACCAGTGCCATTATTAATGTAAAGCTGAGCAATAGCCGCTTTCTCTCGCCTTTCCGCATGTGAAAATTATTTTGTGTGACCCTGCAAGATGTCTGAAGTTGGTTATATGGCCCATCGACAAAAATGTCGCACATCTCTGAATTATATCATCAGTAAAATTAATTTTACAAAAGCATTTATTAACTTAATTATGTTGTTCCAGGAATTATCTTATCTCGATTTGCAATATAACCGATGATGGGAACACTTCATATCACAAGACCGCTTGT